CCTGTGCTCTAAGGAAGCCTCCAAGCCCTACTGTCTGGGCTCTGTCTGTCAAGTCTTGGGACTTCCCTGCCACTGTCACATTAAGGAAGCCCTCAAGCCCTGCTGTCCTGGCTCTGTCTGCTGGGCCTGAGGGTGTTCCTGCAACCTCTGTGCTAAGTAAGCCCCCAAGCCCTGCTGCCTGGGCTCTGTTTGTTGGGCCTAGGGCTTCCCCACTGCCACTGCACTAAGGAAGCTTCCATGCCCTGCTGTCTGGGCTCTGACTGCCAGGCCTGGGGGTGCTCCTATTGCCACCGTGCTAAGGAAGCCCCCAAGCCCTGCTGTCTGGGCTCTGAATGATGGGCCTAGGGGTGCTCATGTCACCACCACACTAAGGAAGTTCCCAAGCCCTGCTGTCTGGCCATGTTTGCTGGGCCTGGGTCTTCCCTGCTGCCTCACTAAAGAAGCCTCCATGCCCTGCTGTTCAGGCTCTGATTGCCATGTCTAGGGCGGATCAAAAACCCTTCTGGAGGTGGATCCAGCCTTGCTGCTCCCATGGACAGGCCACACACTCCAGCAGCAGTGGGTGCCGCCATCTTGTGGCTATGGGGGTTGCCATTTTTGTCCGGAAGTGATGGTTAATTTGCATATTACTCTATTATTAGATAGAACTAGAGGCCTGGTGCATGAAATTTGTGCGCGGGGAGGTGTGTCCCTCAGCCCAGCCTGCACCCTCTCCAATCTTGGACCCCTCGAGGGCAGTCGGACATCCCTCTCACAATCCATTACTGCTGTCTCCCAACTATTCACCTGCCTGCCTCCTGATTACCTCTAACCTCTTCTGCCTGCCTGCCAGACTGATCATTCCCTAACCACTTCCCTGCCAGCCTGATTGCCCCCAACTGCCCTCCCCTGCAGGCCTGGTCCCTCCCTAATTGCTCTCCCCTGCAGATCTGAGTCCCCCACCCCCACCCCCAACTGCCCTTCCCTGCAGGCCCGGTCACCCCAAACTTCCCTTCTCTGCTGGCCTGGTCACCCTTAACTGCCCTCCCCTGAAGGCTTGATCACCACCAACTGCCCTCCCTTGCAGGCCTGGTCCCTCCCAACTTTCTTCCCCTGCTGGCCATCTTGTGGTGGCCATCTTATGTCCACATGGGGCAGCCATCTTTGACCACATGGGGAAGCCATGTTGTGTGTTGGAGTGATGATAAATTTGCATATTACTCTTTTATTAGAAAGGACTAGAGGTCCATTGAAGGAAGATTCGTGCAATAGGGCTTACTGCGGCGGTCTCTGCCACCCCACCTGCTTCCCTCCCTTCTCCACCACCCTGCCTGCTTCCCTCTTTATTCTGCCACCTAGCCTATTTCCCTCCCTTCTCTTCTGCCCTGCCTGCTTCCCTCCAGTCTCTACTGCCCTTCCCACTTCTCTGCAGCTTCGCTCCCTTCTGCAGCAATTGACTTCCTTCTATGCTGTCTTCAGTCTTTGCTCTGTGCCTGGTTATGCAAATTAACCACCATGTTGGTTGTATTGATTTGCATTTTCACTCCTGATTGGCTGGTGGGTGTGACTTGTGGGCCGTAGCTGAGGTATGGTCAATTTGCATGTTTCTCTTTTATTCGATAAAACTAGGGGCACAAATTTTGTGCACTGTTGGGGAGGGGGGTCTCTCAACCCAGTCTACCCTCTCTTACAGACTGGGAGCCCTCAGGAGATGCCCCACTGACAGGCCCGCTCCCCAAGGGGAGTGGGCCTAAGCCACACAGTCTGGCTTCCCTCTGCAGGAGGTGACCAGGCTTATCAGGGGAAGGTACCAGCACCATCACTCTGCTGCTGCAACCACTTCCAGCCACCACAGCTGCCAAGGTGTTTTCATCAAAACGGACTCCACTCTCTTCACCATGAAAAAATGACAACTTTCTTTAGGCATTTTCAAGATGTGTCTTTCATAGGATATGACATTTCTTTCATTTTTAAAAAATCCTCATCTGAGGATATTTTTTTCATTGATTTTTAGAGAGTGTGGAAGGGAGAGGGAGAGACAGAGAGAAACATCAAAGTGAGAGGGACACTTTAATTGGTTGCCTCCTGCATGATCCCTGACTTGGGCCCTAGCCAGGCAGGAGCCTGCTACCTAAGTACATGCCCTTGATCAGAATCAAACCTGAACCCTTCAGTTAGCAGGCCAAGACTCTATCCACTGAGCAAAACTGGCTAGGGCAGGATATGACATTTCTTAGCTCCTCCAGCAGTGGACCTTCGTTTTTTTCTCCAGGGGTGTGGTGCAAAACCCTAGATTACCTTCTTGGATTCTTATTACCCAAGTTACCAAGAACACTGCAAGTGTAGGTGTACAGGGAGCTTATCTAATGAGTGGTCATAAAAGTTTTTTACACTTGAACTGTTTTTGGCTCAGTGGATAGAATGTCAGCCTGCAGACTGAAGGGTTCCAGGTTTGATTCCTATTAAGGGCATGTACCTTAGTTGGGAGAACATCCCCAGTGGGGAGTGTGCAGACGGCAGCCGATTGATGTTTCTCTCTCATCGATGTTTCCGACTGTCTATCCCTTTCCCTTCTTCTCTGTAAAAATTGACTAAAATATATTTTTTAAAAGAAAATAAAAGGTATTTCCTGTTCAGCTCATGAACAGAGGACCCCCTGTGTTATTTCCACTGGGCTAGGGGGTATATCCCCACAGTTTAGTGGGGCACACCCCAAGGCCAGTAGCCAGCCCCATGTTGTGGGTGCTGGTTTGGGGGTGTGGACCTGAGCCACTGCTTGGTGCCGACGCATGCACAAGTGACCACAGGATTGGTGATGTGGCAGATGTTCTCACCGCATCCCCAGCTGCTTGGTGCCTGTGCCCTTAGGCCCAGAGTGTCCAGGGGCATTTTGGGACCCTGACTGCTTGCGGCCTATGTGCAGGCCTACAGGCTAGGAGTGGTCTAGGTCCCGAGGATATTCCCAGGACCCAGACCTCTCAGCGCCTGTGTATGCAAATTAACCTACCATCTTTGGCGGGTTCATTTGCATACTCACTACTGATTGGCTGGTGGGTGTTGCAGAGGTACAATTAATTCGCATCTTTTTCTTTTATTAGTGTGGATATAGCTAATCTCTTTACTAAAACAACTGAACTCAAATACATTAGCTAATAATGCAGTTAATTCCTTTAGAACAAGCTTTTTTAAAAATATATATATATATATTTTATTGATTTTTTTCAGAGAGGAAGGGAGAGGGATAGAGAGCTAGAAACATCGATGAGAGAGATACATCATCCAGCTGCCTCCTGCACACTCCCTACTGGGGATGTGCCCGCAACCAATGTACATGCCCTTGACCAGAATCGAACCTGGGACCCTTCAGTCTACAGACTGAAGCTCTATTCACTGAGCCAAACGGTTTTGGATAGAACAAGCCTTTTTAAAGAAAGAACATCTAAAGTATAATTTGATACTTTTCTCATTAATATTAATTTTTTTTCATTATTAACTCACTGAATATGAGCTTCAAATCCAAAGCTCTTCCCAGCAGCTTTCCCTACACCTTTAATCAAAGCACCGCACGACTCTTTACAGAAGCTAATTTCTCTCAGCCTCAGGTGGTATATTTACTATGCTGAAGCTGTTCAAGAGGGTACAGGTAAGGCAGAAGTTGCCTTTCAGACTTCTTGAGTTTCTAATTCTCTTGTCTAGACATGTCAGAGAAGAGTGAAAATCATCTGTACTCATGGCAAGATCTCAGTCAAAAGCTAATCTTTTAAGAATTCTAGAAAGAAACAAGGTCTAGGAATTGTTCAGGAAAATTACTAACTCAAAACAGGACTTTAGTTATCCTAGAGGAAATAATACTGCACTCTAGTAGGAATGGGGAATAATTGTTGGGAGCAAGGAAATGCAGGTGTAGGTATAGATTAGGATTTCCCCAAATGTGATCTAGTCCTTTATACCCAGAACTGTAGCCCCAGGGCTAGGCCTGTAGAATAAGGACTGGCATCCAGTCTTTTATTGAATAACAAGATCCTTGAAGGTGATACTTAGCTCTCTGTCTGATCCTATCCCTTATTTTCCTCTTTGGTATTTCTCTAGTTCAGCATGTCAACCAAACCTACCTCATCTAGGCTACTAATCCTGTCTTGTTCATGATCACATCTTGACTTGATCCTGTCATGAACTCCTATCTAAAACCAATCTATCCTTTATTGAATTCTTTTTTCATTAAGACCTTCTGCATTGACCCAAACTAAGCTCTCTTCCATTTGCCTTAGTATTTTAATTATTTGTGGGGAAGCAAAACACTCTCTATTCCCATCTACCATTTCACTTATCTAGTGGAGTATAGCCTTATTCCTACATACAAGTAAATATTTTTCTTTATTCACCTGATACTACTAGCATGTTGGCTTGAGTTGGTGGTTAAGAGAGACAACAGTGATTTTTTCCACAGTTGTTTTTCTAAGTAGCTTATATTCCCCATCCAAAACAAAATATTTAGAAAACAACAAAATTTTCAAACAAAGTCAAATTAGTTTTATCACATCACTTGTTTTCTTGTGATTTACTTCTCAAAATAGATTATTGGTAAAAGAAAGCTAATGCTAATAAATTGCAATCTAGGTTCTGTTTATTGAGTTTTTACTTTACTTTAGAAATATTATATAACTTAACAAAATGGTCAACCCATGGGGGATTATTTAAGTCCTGTTAGATTTTTTTCTCACCTGTCTCAACAGCAATATACTTTCATTACAGAAAATTTAGAAAACACAGAAAGACACCTAGCAAATTAAAATTGTTCAGAATCCCTTTGATCCTTTAGTCTATTTTATCCTTCCTGTTTGGATTCATTTAATAGATTATTGCATGTCATTATAACATATATCCAGACAAAAAATACTTTAAGTCAGCTGATTCTCATTTTGATTTTATTTTATTGTTGGAAGTGTTGCTGATATTTTGCATGGTAGAGGATGGATCTGTTTAGATTGTAGACAGCTTTCAGTGATGCACTTGTTTCTTATTTTACTTGGGGTTGCTAAGCAGGAGGAGATGGCAAGTGGCTATCTACCTCATCAGAGGGCTGTAACTTGGTTTACTACAAAAAGCTACTCTACCAAAAAATGTTGTTCTAAGAACTCCAATTCTGTCTACCCTGTCTTAAACTTAGTGTATAAACAACTTTATTTCCAAGCTACTCATCTCATCACATTCTTGTCCTTAATCTAAGTGGCATCAATTTGCAAGGAGTGGGAGGTGGCAAGCAGCCAAATATTTCATGCACTGGGTGGTCATGTCTGTGCCACATCAAGCTATCGGATGTAACTTAAGAACTCAGTTGAATCAAGTAAGGATTAATTAGACAAAAGGCCTCAGTTGATTGATTATATTATTTTAACCTTTCCTCTAGTCAAAGCGGGTTGACCTAATCAAGCACATTTTCTATTGGCTGGTTGCTTGCAGCCCATTTGAAACAATAGAATCTGTGTAATAGAATTCTTTCTCACCTCTTCTTTGATCCATGCCATCTTCTTGGGTCAAGATGATTGATAAGTGGACCACAGACATAGACACAAGCTAGAATCTTTTAAAAAACATTATAGGTTTGTTTTTTATATGCTGTTTGGGTTTCTCTGAACTGGTTTTTAAAAACCCTGCTACCTTATTTTTTCTTCCAGTTTGGATTTCCTGCAGGCCAAGCAATAGTGAATCTCTTTCAAGGAGGCACTGAGAGCATTGGTGACTATTAACCTATATTATCACTTTGACTCACTGCAAATTAGAGGGGTTCCAGATGCCCCTCAAGATTTTTCAAAGACTACCTAATACCAAGCAAATGAATATGAACATAGAATCATAGAGCTAACAGCCTTGGAGACTATCAACCCTTCTGAAATGTAGAAAAGGATATTTGGATCCAGAAAGGAGAAACCATATTCCTAAAGTCACCATCTGGTTAGTAGAAGTGGAACTGCTTTTACCAAAGTCAAAAGGAGATCTGAGGTATCAAGAAAATCCCTGACCTTTAAGAGCAATTCTTGTTAGAGATCCTGGAGTAAGAGCCCTAAATATTTGTATAGGCACAAGCTTGGCAGGAAAACTTTGGTTTGGAGTGTTTCGGTGTAGGTGACTGTACTGACATCACAGGAGAGAGAGAGAGGAGAGAGAGAGAGAGAGAGAGAGAGAGAGAGAGAGAGAGAGAGAGAGAGAGAGAGAGAGAGAGAGAGAGAGAGAGAGAGAGAGAGAGAGAGAGAATATGACAGATTTATTGGTCACTAAATCACCTTTACCATGCAGACAAGAATGAATGATGATCTGACCCAAGTGAATGGAAAACAAACCTCTATTTCTGCCCAGACCAATGGATTTATTTGTAGTTTATAGCACATGGCCTTTTTTTTCTATTTGTAAAATTAAAATCCCAGATATATCTGAAAAGAGGTCTGACTTCAGAGAACATCTTAGATGTATTTTCACTGTGCACATCATCCAAATAAGAGCTCCAGTATATAGGAAGGGAGATCAGAACAGAACCAAACCTGCAAACTTCATGCAAAATTGGATAAGAACTAATTCCAATTACTATTGTTGACACCATCTCTGTCCTCCAAAGCCTTTAAATCTGAGTGGACCCAGTAGATATAAGCTAGCCAGAGAGGGACTTTGCCCCTGTACTCACTGACTCCAGCTGCTTCAGGGATGATTGACCCAGGCGAACTTCCTATGAGGATGCCTTCTGAGAATAAGAGATCAAAGGAAAAACAATTGCTTGGAGCCCACAAGGGAACTAGATTATGGAGGTAGACTCTTCATAAGTGGTAGTATGTTAACTTCATTGTGACATATTTGGTGTAATTAAGAAGCAGGGCATGCTTGTTATTTTGGGTGTACATTGGTGAAGGAGCAATAAAAGGTCAGAGTAAAATTTTGGGTTAGTTTTGAGTCTGTAGAACCTGTCCCTTTGGTCATATTTGGGGTGGCTTAGTCACGGACACCCCAGAACAAATATTAACATGAAGTATCTTCATTTATGCCTATAATTTGAAAGTGCAAAACTACATTAATGGTTGAAATGATAGTATTCCAAAAGAGTGTCATAAGATTATGTTAAAAATTGTTATGTTACTTCAGAGAAGTAATTCCTCCACACCCCTATATGTGCCTAACTCTGTTTTTCAGTGTATTTTTTCTGAGATGAAAGTTCAGATCTTCTAATTTTCCTATTCTAAAAATTTCAATATTTCTCTACTTTTATAAATTCCTTATTATAGTACAACCTAGCATTTTCTAGACTCCTTTGTATAGTTTATGCTGTAGCCCAAACCTTCTACTGTACTTTCTCCTGACCTTTTCTGATTCCATACCTTTATTTTCCTCTACCTAAAATTTCATCCCTGTCTCCAGCCACCACAGATCCAATTTTACCCATCCTTCAAAGGATAGTCAAATATCACTTTCTCCAGAAAGCTTTCCTTAATCCCTCTAGTGATATGTCCCTATTTCTGAATTCCAATAATAAATTTACCTATAGTTCTTATTTTTCACTTGTTTCTATTATATTTGATTTAGAGAAAATAATAAATGTTACAAGTTTTTTTTTGTTTTTGTTTTTATTTTTAGGGTAGAGACCATGTTTGATTAATCTTTGTACTTTGTATAGTACCTAACAAAAATTAAATGTGTGTTTCTATGCCTCTCTGTGTATGTAGCTTTCCTCTGGGCATTTCACCTCTTTTTCTTGTTTGCTTAATGTTTTTTCTGTGTTCCCATCCCTCAATCTCCCAATCTTCTTCTTTCCTCCACCTGCCTCTGTCTCTCACTGTGTGTGTGTGTGTGTGTGTGTGTGTGTGTGTGTGTGTGTACAGGGTATGGGCAAAAGTAGGTTTATAGTTGTTCATATGCAAAGTAATACAATAGTTAATAATAATAATATAAGAATAAACTCCATGTTTTGCATAGTCATAAATTATAAACCTACTTCTGCCTTATCCTGTATATACATATAGATAGATAGAGACATGGAGATAAAGATAGATATACACATATAAAATAAAATATATAATTTAATTAACCATTATAAAAATAAAGTATATTTTTCATTTGTTGTGTTTATTAAATTCAGGTTAGATGCCTTGTTTTATTCTGAAAAGCAGTAATGCTTTCATATTCCTCTCATAAAGTTCTAAACAGATAGCTAAATCATATTTTTATTATTCTATTGTTGGTTAACTTTTTTTGTCTTGATGAGAAGTGACCATTGATAGCAAAATGCTCCCCATTCATGCATTGATTATTGAATTCAGTCATTGTTTACTATGGTTTTCTCTTGAGGCATTGAGAGGTGCCCATTTTAGGTATTGTAACACTTAACCAAGTGAAGTGGTAACTAAAGGATTAAAGGGGGGTCATGATAGCTCTCTTGATATATGTGAAAGGATACCAAGGGGACCATGTTTTCAGTTTGTTTTATGTGGCCTCAGTAAATATAACCTATACAAAAATGAATGTTTTGGCCTCAAAGATAGTGAATTTTCTGATATTAAGGGTATTCAAACAGAGCCTGAATCGACATGTGGCGAGGAGAGAATAGATGATACTCATGGCATTGTATGGGGTGTTGGGATAAATTATTATTTTTTTGTCATAAATTATCCCTTGAGATCCTTTCCCAATTTGAGATTCTATGGTTCCATGAGATTCCTTAAAATAGACTTAAGCAGTTTCCAAATGTTAAGAACACATATAAACAGATCAATTCAAATAGAAAACAAGAAAGAATGTTATAAGAAACAGAACTAGAAGCTTCAGAGAGCCTCATTATAAACCACTGTATTTGACCACTAAATTTTACTCTCAGTTCCTTGGAAATTAAGGTAAAAATTGAGTTGCATGGTTCTTTGTCAAGAAAAAAAAAATGGCCAAGTTCAACTGCCTAGAAAGATGTTGTTGTTTTTTATGCCATGGAATTCTAGGAGGAATTTATAATGTAATTCTTTGTATAATATATAGTGTTTATCATAATGGACAATGTGGCTTTATAAAAGATATAAATATAATCTTCAAACAGAAATGTCTTTTCTTCCCTTTCAGAAAAAAAATAGCTGTAAAATGTCAAATCTTCAACCAGTAAGAGTCTTTTTCCCTCAGAAGGTTAAAAAAAATATGGTTAAGATAGATTGCTTTCTGTTAACCTGGCTTAAAATAGAGACCTGGCACCAAGAATCCAGAAGAATGGACAGTTAAAGTGACCCATATCTGCTTTCAAGTATCTCCAGTATCAAGTGATCCTTTGGATAACAAATAATTCATTTTTTAATTCTCTAAGAGGTGTCTCAAGGAGGATTGAGATTCAGAGCCTAAGGATTTGTGCTCTCTGCCAATTAATTGCTGGCAAAGAACAGTAGAGATATACATCCCAGTCCTACCTACCTCAGAAGGACGCTGTGAAGATGGGAGAAGAGTATATTGATGTCAAAGTACTGGAGAAAGTTACAATTTCTAACCAAATGTCATGGTTGAGGGATAGTTTTATTGCCACCAGACTGCATCTCACCAGGGACTAGGCCCCAGGAGGGCTTTGGTGGTTAGCTACTGAGAAAAGCCAATTTGTCAGATCTGCTATGAAATGTCATTGCATATCTACAGGGGAAAGGCATTCAACTCAGAGAAAGATGATTTCATGAACTTAATGATTCTTTTATGAAGTAAGGGCCATCATTGACCAGTGTCAGAGTAGTGTCATAGTCAAAGACATGGTCTAGCAACCAAAAGGAATTTTAAAATAATTTAAATTCTAACAATAAAAAACCATAAAGGGGATGGTTTTATTAAAATATCCCTTTCTCTACAGTGTGGTGTTTTTCTTTTGTATCATATTCTATAGGTGTTAAATTTCTTTTTATTTCATCACTTTCCCACTAACTTTTCCTGGACCTCTGGGCAAAACAAGTTTTTTCCTCTCAATATTTCCCTCTCTCTAAGCACTTTATTATGTGTGTTGGCTTAGAATACAGCCTAAATCCTTCTCCCCTGCATTTCATGTGTTCTCGCTCTCTCTTCTTGATTCTGCACCACAAAAGACCAAAGATCATTTCACCAAACATAGGAGGGAGATGTTGGGATGGTGAGGATCCGAGAAAAGGAAAAACAACCTCACCTTGATGCACTGGGGGAAGAATAAAGTTGTTAACATACATACATTAATAATTTTCACACCATCACATCATGACATGGACACTTGGATTACCACAATCACCCAATTTCATACCTTTTTGTTATTAACCCAATGTCTCTTCATTTTTACTCTTAAGTCATAGACTAGGTTTTTCCACAACAGCTAGAAACAAAGATTATTGAAAACAATAGATAATTATAGCAAAACCTTCTGGTATATGTGTTTAGAAAAGGTAACAAGCATGGTGGAAGGATTGGGGCTTCTCTTGGACTGGTTCTATACATCCGTCTGAGAGATGCTATCTTCAGTATGCAGAGGGAACAAGGTGAGACTTTTTAAACTTCCCAGTGCTTTTTACATCTGAACTCCAATATTGAGATTGTGGTATGAAAACTCTAAACTTTACTCTTCAAATAAAAAAGCAACCAAAATTTTTAAAGCCAAATTTTGGTAATTGATCCCGCCATTCTTTTCTGTTGAAAAAAAATTCTAAGCACTTTAAAGGTGTGGAAAAAAAACATATTCATCCTCTTATTTATGGCCCTAACAAACAAACAAAAAAAGAGTAATATACTAT